ATTGAAACAAAAAAAGCAGTACGAAAGATCAATGAAACAAAGAGTTGGTTCTTTGAGAAGATAAACAAAATTGACAACCCCCTAGCCAGACTTACAAAGAAAAAAAGAGAGAAAGCTCAGACAAATAAAATTAGAAATGAAAGAGGAGAAATAATGACAGATACCACAGAAATACAAAGGATAATAAGAGAATACTATGAAAAGCTATATGCCAACAAATTGGACAATCTAGAAGAAATGGATAAACTCTTAGACTCTTACAACTTCCCAAAGCTGAATCAAGAATAAACAGAGAATCTGAATAAATCAATCAAAAGAAAAGAGATTGAAACAGTAATCAAAAGCATCCCAAAGAATATAAAAACCCAGGACCAGTTGGCTTCTCTGGAGAATTCTACCAAACTTTCAGAGAGGATTTAATACCTATGCTTCTCAAGCTATTCCAAAAAATTAGGGAAGATGGAACACTTCCTAACATGTTCTACGAGGTCAACATCACTCTGATACCAAAGCCAGACAAGGACAACACAAAAAAGGAAAACTACAGGCCAATATCGCTGATGAACATAGATGCGAAAATCCTCAACAAAATACTGGCAACCCGAATACAGCAATATATCAAAAGGATCATACATCATGATCAAGTGGGATTTATGCCAGGGGCAGAGGGATGGTTCAACATCTGCAAATCAATCAATGTGATACACCACATTAACAAAATGAGGAATAATAACCACATGATCATCTCAATAGATGCAGGGAAAGCAACAGCCATTTATGATAAAAACTCTTAACAAAATGGGGATAGAAGGAAATTACTTCAACATAATAAAGGCCATATATGACAGACCCACAGCCAACATAAACTCAATGGGGAAAAACGGAACGCCATCCGTCCGAGAACCGGAATGAGACAAGGATGCCCTCTATCACCACTCTTATTCAACACAGTACTGGAGGTTTTGGCCAGAGCAATTAGGCAAGAGAATGGAATAAAAGGAATCCAAATAGGGAGGGAAGAAGTGAAACTCTTGCTGTTTGCAGACCACATGATCTTATATATAGAAAACCCGAAGGAATCCATCTGAAAACTATTAGAAATAATTAACAACTACAGTAAAGTTGTAGGGTACAAAATCAACTTACAAAAATCAGTTGCATTTCTATACTCTAATAATGAACTTACAGAAAGAGGATACAATTGCATTTATAATCACAACAAAAAGAATAAAATATCTAGGAATAAATTTAACCAAGGAGGTGAAGGACTTATACAATGAAAACTATAAGACATTACTGACAGAAATTGATAATGACATAAAGAGATGGAAAGAGATTCCTTGAACATGGATTGGAAAAATAAACACAGTTAAAATGTCCATACTACCCAAAGCAACCTACAGATTCAATGCAATCTCTATCAGAATCCCGGTGACATTCTTCATGGAAACAGAACAAAGAATCCTAAAACTCATATGGGGCAACCAAAGACCCTGAGAAAAAAAAGCAATCCTGACAAAAAAGAGCAAAGCTGGAGGCATCACAATCCCTGACTTCAAAATGTACTACAAAGCCATAGTGATCAAAACGGCATGGTTCTGGTACAAAAACAGGCACACAGATCAATGGAACAGAACTGAAAGCCCATAAATAAAACCACACATCTATGGACAGCTAATTTTTGACAAAGGTGCCAAGAGCATACAATGGAGAAAAGATAGTCTCTTCAATAAATGGTGTTGGGAAAACTGGACAGCCACATGCAAAAGAATGAAAGCAGACCATTATCTCACGCCATACACAAAAATAAACTCAAAATGGATCAAAGACTTCAAGGTAAGCCCTGAAACCATAAAACTCCTGGAAGAGAAGAGAGGTCGTACACTCTTTGACATCGAACTTGAAAGGATTTTTTTGAGTACGATGTCCTCTCAGACAAGGGAAACGAAAGAAAAAATAAACAAGTGGGACTTCACCAGACTAAAGAGCTTCTGCAACGCAAAAGAAACTCAGATCGAAACAAAAAGACAACCCACCAACTGGGAGAAAATATTTGCAAATCATATATCTGACAAGGGGTTAATCTCCATAATATACAAGGAACTCACACAAATGAACAACAAAAAAAGAACAGCCCAATCAAAAAGTGAGCAGAGGATATAAACAGACATTTTTCCAAAGAAGATTTACAGATCGCCAATAAACATATGACAAGATGTTCAACATCACTAATCGCCAGGGAAATGCAAATCAAAACTACACTAAGGACTGGTCCAGTGATGCAGCAGTTAAGTTCACGCGTTCCATTTTGGTGGCCCAGGGTTCGCTGATTCAGATCCCGGGTGTGGACCTACACACCGCTTATCAGGCTTATCATGCTGTGGCAGGCATCCCACATATAAAGTACAAGAAGATGGGCACGGATGTTAGCTCAGGCCAATCTTCCTCAAAAAGAAAACCCAAAAAAACACTACACTAAGATACAACCTTACACCTGTTAAAATGGCTATAATCACTAAGACTACAAATAACAAATGTTGGAGAGGATGTGGAGAAAAGGGAACCCTCATACACTGGGGGTAGGAATGCAAACTGGTGTAGCCACTATGGAAAACTGTACGGAAATTCCTTAAAAAACTAAAACTAGAACTACCATATGACCCAGCTATCCCACTACTGGGTATCTACCCAGACAACTTGAAATCAACAATCCAAAGTAACACATGCACCCCTATGTTCACTGCAGCACTATTTACAACAGCCAAGACTTGGAAACTATCCGAGTGCCCACTGACCAATGATTGGATAAAGAAGATGTGGTATATATACAATGGAATACTACTCAGCCACAAAAAAAGATAAAATCATCCCATTTGCAACAACATGGATGGACCTGGAGGGAATTATGCTAAGCGAAATAAACCAGACTGAGGAGGACAGACACCAGATGATTTCACTCATATGTGGAATATGAACAAGCACATGGACAAAAACAGTTCAGTGGTTACCAGGGAAAGGGGGGTCGGAGGTGGGCACAGGGGGTGAAAAGGAGCACTTATGTGGTGACGGACAAAAAATAATGTACAACTGAAATTTCACAATGATGTAAACTATTATGAACGCAATAAAAAATTATAATATTAAAAAAAACAAAACAAAAGGTGGAAGGGGACTGTGCAGAAAAGAGTTAACACAGCGGCACTGAGCCTGCTGTCCTTAGAAAGGCCTGTTTGCAAGGTTGGCCCTCTGCTGGCCTCCGGGAACTTGGCTCTCAGAATGCTCACAGTCCACAATGAACTGAAAATTAATTAGTGGTTCACTGTGCCTAGACTGTGCCCAAACGATATGGCTTCTAGTGAACGTCTGCTTCCTTCTGGGAGTCTGAAATCCGAGCAAATGCTCGGCAGAAGATGCCTATGTGACCACCCAATATAAACCACGGGTGCCGAGTTCCTCTGACGGGCTTCCCTGGGCAGAAACACCACATGCGCATTACTGCACCTGCGTTGCTGGGGGAAGAGAGTGCTCCATGTGAGCCCTCACAGAGGGAGAGAGCCTAAGGCAGCTGCACGTTGTTGCCTGCAGACTCTGCCTGTGACCCCCTGACTACAGCCTTACTACATCACTATAATAAATTGTAGCCATAAATACAACCATATGCTGAGTCTCATGAGTCCTGCGAGTGACACTTAGGGATCCCTGACACAGGGAGCCTATAGGGTCGGTGGTTCTGAAGCTTTAGGGTGTGTCAGAATCACCGAGAGGGCTTGTAAAACACAGGTTGCTGGGCCCCAACTCCAAGCTTTCTGATTCAGTAGGTCTGGCGTGGGGCCAGAGAATTTGCATTTCTATAGCTTTCCAGGTGCTGCTGGAAGGAGGAGTACACTCAAGAAGTCCCATGAGAGATTAAAAGATTTATGAGATATATCAAATTGAAATGTATCAATCTTATTTGGATTCTGATTTGGATAAATAAACTATTAAAAACAAGATCTATGAAGAAATTGGAGAAATGTAAACAATGACTAGAGTAAGTAAAATAAGGAATCAACTTTGCTATGAGATACTGGTATTAGGATTCTTTTAGACAGATTTTATTGATACACATGTATCTTTCAGAGACACATACAGCCATTTTTTGGGTGAAATGACATGGTGTCAGATTTGCTTCAGAATAATTCAGCTGAGGATGCAGGAAGCAGCAGGGGCTTCAGGGAAACCAGACTGGCCAAGTGTGGATAACTGGCGCTGGGTGACAGATGCATGGGGATTCATGAAACTATTCTCTCTACTTTTGTATATTCTGAAAATTTCCTAGAATAAAAACTTGTTGTTGTTGTTCACGAGAGCACCCCAAAGAGAGAGCACTTCTTGAATCTCCTTCTCCTGCCTCACATCACAACAGTTCCACATCTAGGGGAGGCTCACCATCACAGGCTACCTGAGTGTGAGGAGGAACTTTGCAAACTGGGGGCTTCTAAACGTCGCTCAATGTCAGAATCAACAGGTGTTCCTGTTAAGAAAACCCAAACATTTCTGGGACCCACCCCAGACGCTACTAATCAAGCTATCCAACTGCGGAATCTTGGGATGTGTGATTTTAAATGGACTCTCCCAGCAGTTCTGACGCCCCAGCCTCACAGTGAAGGTCAGAGTGCTGACTGGCGCTGGCCACACAGCGCACGCTCCATTCGGAACACATTCTCTGCAGTGCGCCTAGCAGACAATATCACCATGTTCCCGGACAAGTTTAAGTTGGTCTTGCTTTCCTGGGTGACAATACTTCACAATCTCCCTGCCTGTGTCATCTACTTTTCATCCTTGATGGGTCCCCCAGTCCACATGTTACCATTGGCCAGGCGGGTAGGAGAGATGGAGTTAGAGAAAAGAGCACAAAGTGAGGTGTGAAGGCACAGGAGGCAGGGGCTCCCAGGAGCCTGTCCTGGCCTTCCGACGGAGAAGGCAGCCTGCCCTCAGAGAGACACTGCCGAGCCGCTTACCATGGCAAAACCAACATCTGCTTTCTTCAGTGCAGGCCCATCATTTGTGCCATCTCCAGTGACAGCCACCACCTGCCGCTGCTCCCCAACAGTGCTGTCAATGATGCCTGGGAAACAGACACACCAAGCGAGTCCACACATGCCATCTCAGGCCATTTGGCAAGCCTCCTGTTCCCCAAGAAAGGTGCTTCTTTGGTCTTCCTCCCTAGTCCCTGCCAGCACCTCCCTTTCTACTTTCTTCTTTCCTTCTTTTTGCCTATGCTGGAGGTTCTGTAGTATCACCCAAAGGCGGTAAACTGCTGCATAGTCGCACTCTGAGCTAAGGAAGCCCGCTCTCCTCTGATAGCTTGTCTGGTGCCCTAAGGCAGCTGGTAGGTGGTGGACAAAGCACCAAGTGATCTGAAGGCAGAAACGTGGAGTCAAACTGTACCACTTCCACTTAACAGCTAGGCAATTGGGGTGTCTGTGTCTTCCCAGCCTCAAACTTCCTTATTTGCAAAATGGGAATAGATTAACCTGCCCTGCCTAGTTCACAGTACTACTGGCAAACAAGATATGACAATGTTTTAAAAAAAACTTTCATTATATGTCATATATTCAGCAGGGGCTCAGATGTTAGCTAAACATCTCAGGACCTCCCTATTCAGGACAAGGGAGCTGCTCTGGCTGATGGTTCCCGCCTGCCCTCACCTGCCTGCCTTATCTACCTCAGGCACCTGGTCAGGAGCCCACCTCACCCCGCCTGCCTTATCTACCTCGGGTACCTGGTCAGGAGCCCACCTCACCCCGCCTGCCTTATCTACCTCAGGCACCTGGTCAGGAGCCCACCTCACCCCGCCTGCCTTATCTACCTCAGGTACCTGGTCAGGAGCCCACCTCACCTTTCACCAGCGTGTGCTTGTCAGTGGGGGAAGATCGTGCCAGAACTCGAAGCTTAGGCCAGATCTTGTCCAGCTTTTCTTGTTCTACCTGCCAAGATCAGACCACACCTGGGTCAGTCACACTCAGAACAGCCATCCAGGAAAATCTTACTTTTCCACACACTCTGAGCTTCTGCAACACCTGGTTCTCCATGGCCCACGGGGGAGTGCTATCCTGGCCTCCAGCAGAGATGAGGCAGCCAACTCAGTCTCCAAGGGCACATTCCCCAATGGTGACCATCAGGCCCTGCTTGTCTTCTTCCTCCCAACTCCCTAGCTGGGAGCCAGTCTCCTATTTCTTAGACCCTTGACCAGAGGTGGGCCAGGGTTAGCTGTTGGCTCAGGTGGCTACTGTGGTGCTTCTGAGGTCTGAGGTTTGATTTCTACATAGACCAGGAAGCTCTGGTCTGCTCCACACCCAGACCACGTCCTCCTACAAACCTGTCTCACTGTTAGTCACAGGGCAGTGACAAAGGAGGGATGAGGTAGAGGGAAATCAGTACAAAACCATCCCATGACTGAAAAAAAGGGAAAGATGTGAGAAGTTAGCGACACTGTCTCAAAAGATAGCTTGTGAATGAAGATAATGAGAAGAAAATTCCCAATTTTACTCTCTGAGCAGGTTTGGTAGAAGGAACGTTTCTCTACGAATAGATTTTACTTTTAAACACCACCCACTTTCCCCCATATGTCGAGACGCCTCACGCTAGACTGGCCCGCCCCTTGCCAGCGAGGCCCCGCCTCCGCCCGCACAGGACCCACCTCGCCCTTCTCATTGCGGATGAGTCGGTTGAATTCTTTGCCTTCTAAGCACAGGAAGTCATCCCCAGGCGTCAAAATGCCACATTTGGTGGCGATGGCCCGGGCTGTGTTGATGTTGTCACCTGTCACCATTCTGACAGTAATGCCAGCTCGTTTGCATTTGGCAATAGCTTCTGGTACCTGTGGAGAGCAAGGCAAGACGAAAGGAGAGATGGGGGTGGTGCTGTCCCTTCACTGTGGGCGGCAGAGAGGCACCCAGAGGCAGTGCCATGAGGCACAGGCGGACTCTGGTCATTTTTACATCTCTGGGTGCCGCCTCACTTCTGTCCTACCCATAATTCTCACACTTGAATTCACCCTATTTTACCATGAGCTGAGGGGGAAATTTGTTTCAGGAGCCAGGTCTAAAAGCTTATTCTCCCACTTACAATTGAGACTCCTTAGCAGGGCGTGCAGCCTTCTGTGATCTGGCCGCTGCCTTCCTTTCTAGCAGAACTTTTGGCCACTCTCCACCTGCCTGGCTCATGGCAATTCTTTTTAGTTTCCCAAATGCATGACACCGTCTCATGCCTCTGGGCCTTGACAACTGGCCCATCCGTCTAACCTTCTCAGAAGCAGGGACTTCTTCAATGCCCTAGTGTGGAGAGCAGTGGTCAGCTATTCTAGGCGTGCTCAGCAAGAACGTGTTGACTGAACAAAGGTGGTGAGAGATGAAGTTGGTGCCCCTGTTAACTCAGTCTCCTGACTGTTCTTAAGTACCAAATAATAAGCCCAATGAAACCTAGGCTTCTTGCCCCTCAGATAGCATTCGCCGTAGGACTGCCGCCTCCCAGCAACTGGGGGGCTCTCCGGCAGTTCTTTGAGGTGGGGAGCATGGGAACACCTGTCCCTGTATGGGAGAAGCAGCTAGGTAACTTGCTGGGCCCCAACTAGAAGCAGAACTCGTACCCCAGTTCCTGTGACTCCTGCGTGGCCTCCCATTAGGTCACACTGGGCCTGAACATGGGCAGAGGCCATTGGAAGACTTCCATTCGTGTTTTCCCGCCCTTTCCCCTCACCCAGGCCTCACCTCTGGGCGCACGGGGTCCTCAATGCCCACCACCGCGATACAGGTCAGTTCCGTGAGGATTTCGTTCTCGTTGTCCCACGGGGGCTCTACATCACTGAAATCCCGGTAAGCTATACAGATAGTCCGAAGTCCGTCAGAGGCCATGGGCTCAATGACAGTGCGCACCATCTCGTCTCGGTCCTTATTCTTGAATGGCACTGCTTCCCCTTTCTTGTCCAAGATTCGATTACACCTGGTGAGGCACACAGTCAGAAAGCAGCACCCCCTTCCCACCCAATATGCCTCTGCAATCATTTACAGACATTCTGGCAACTCCGCATTACTCCTAAAGACACTATTCCATGCCCAGAAATCTCTATCTGTTGCCCAGCTGAGTTCCCTTTTCCAAGGTGGGGTGGCCTGTAGGTGGATAATGTCTAGGTAGGCAGAGCATATGATTCTTCCAAGTCATCTTTTTTTTTTTTTGAGGAATACCAGCTAACATCTGCTGCCCATCTTCCTCTTTTTTTTGCTGAGGAAGATTGGCCCTGAGCTAACACCTGTGCCCATCCTTCTCCATTTTATATGTGGGATGCCTGCCACACTGTGGCTTGAAGAGCCACCACAAACCAGCGAACCCCAGGCCGCTGAAGCAGAGTGTGCAAACTTAACTGCTATGCCACTGGGCTGGCCCCTCATGTCATCTGTTCTTACTCATATGTGAATGCAACACCAAGAATTACTTGTGGGTCATCTGCCCTTTTGAACTTCTCTAAGGTAGAGAGATTCTTTTCATCCCCAGCATGTAGAATTGTGCTCAGTGCGTAGGGTATACTCAACAAGACTATATTGCTTGAAATAAGGTGGCCAAGCTGGGGCATTTGTTAATTTAGTGACTGGGCCTATACCCATATAAGTCAGCTTTTAATGACCTATGGATTGATTGTCTAGCCACTTTGACTAAGTTAAGTCTGATTAATCCTGTAATCAGAACTGAGAACGAGAAGGAAACATTTCCAGTACTTGTAACGTGCAAGGCATTTTACTCACACAGAATCATTTAGTCATAGTGACCCCGTGAGATGGGGGATATTTTGATCGGTTTCAGATTAGGAAATGGAAGCTTGGATTGCCCAGCTCTGAATCCTGGCTGTGCCACTATCAGCTGCATCACCTCAAGCAAGTTACCTAACTTCCATGTGCCTCTGTTTATTTATCTGTAAAACAGCACAATCATAGCATGCACTCACTGAGTTGTGAGGATTAAATGAAATGAGCCACCTAAGATACTTAGAAACAACGGTCGGCCTGAATAACTGCTCAGGTGTTAGCTATGACGTCACCACCTGGAAGGCGGCTCGCTCATCACTCAGGTGCTCCGCGGGGCAGGTCACCAGACCTCCCTGAGGGAGGGTGGCGAAGGGAGGAGGAGCAGGGGAGGGGCGCTCACTTGCGCAGGAGGATCTCGGAGGCGCCCTTGCTGTACATGCGGTAGCCGCCGGGCTTCTCGACGACGGTGCTCATTGACTTGCGCGCCGAGTTGAAGGTGTAGACCTTGTAGAGCTTCTCCTCGGGCACCTCGCTGCGCACCGCGTGGTAATCCTGCTTCAGGTCCGTGACAAAGCCCAGCAGGGCACACTCGGTCTTGTTGCCCACCTGCCGCGGCAGGCCGCCCTCCTTCTCTGGAGGCTGCGAGAGAAGTGTGCATGGGCCTACCGAACAAGACGCCTCACGCGGGGAGAGACGTCCGGAAGCAGAGCACCCCCCACGAGGCTTTCACAGAGGCACCCGAGACCGCAGGGAGCGAGCATCTGTCTTGTTGAAGGGGTGCTGACGGTGGTCAGTGGTGACCGCAGCCCCTGAGCCGTTCAGGGCTTAGGGATTTTTGAGCTTGCCCTGGGGATGGTGCTGGTGTCTCACCTTGTGTGGGTCTTATTCGAACACCCTCTCTTACTTTCTGGAAAGTGAGTAATTTTCCTGATAAGCCCAATTCTGCTACCAGTGTGAGGTCTCTCCTTAGAGAAAGCGCCTTTACGAAGTGACTGGAGGGCATTGCAGAGCCACAGATTCCGACCTGCCTCACCCTCCCCACCCCTAATCTACTTCCACAGATTATTCCCTAGTCTCACCCCAAACATGTTCACTGACGAGTGGGAAATGGCATGTGGGATGGCAATTCAGGCAGAACAAACAAGAGAAAATTAGCTGCCTGACAGAAAATTAATAGTCCCTTCCAACTACCCTTTCTAAGCGTCCAGGCAAAGGAAGAGCTTACCAGAATCTTGGAGGTATAGGCGCTGTTGATAGAAATGCTATTGACAACAAGGTCCAGGATCTTGGGCACGAGGACATCAGGGCTTGGGATCTGATGGTAATGGGTGTCCCCGATATAAGCCTGGATCACAGTCATGCGGTTCATGGTCAACGTGCCTGTCTTATCAGAGCAGATGGCTGTGGCATTGCCCATCGTCTCACAAGCATCCAAGTGCCGTACCAGGTTGTTGTCTTTCATCATTTTCTACAAAGGAAGGAGAAAGGACTTGAGGGGACAAACTGAGCTCTCCCAAATACAAGTCAAAAGCCATTTCCTAGCTAACACCTCTCCAGTTTATCCTCCCGTCCCACACAAAAAGGCAGGGTACTACTTTTGTGAATCCTCTTAAGATTCTACTGGGTTACGGGAACACTGATGTAACTGATCAAGATGGTCCTGCCACAGTGCCAGCAGCTTCCGTTCTTGTGAGGCACCACCCAGAGTTTGTGGAGACAGAACGGCCTATCCTTTTGCCAAAGGCTACATGGCACCCTCCTTTCCTGTCTCTGTTCTAAAAGAGGAGACAGTATCATTCCAGTCTCACCTTCACAGAATAGGCCAGGGAAATGGTGACAGCCAGTGGCAGCCCCTCTGGCACAGCCACCACCAGTACGGTGACGCCGATGATGAAGAACTTGACAAAGTACTGGATGTAGATGGGAGTACACTCGGCCAGCCACGGTTTGCGCTGTATCACGAAGTTGTCAATCACAAAGTACAGAATCAGAATGAGGACTGTGATGGCAGACATGATCAGACCTGTCCAGGAAACAAGTCACATGAACCAGGCTCGAGGGCATTCCTAGGGCCCTAGCCAGAGATAGACTGGCATTAGTTGTAGCCTTTGCCACCAATTTTTGGAGCCACTACCTCCAGGAAGTCCCTGTCCCTTCTCTCTTGCTTGCACATTACAGTGTATGGGAGAAGTCACTGGTTTTGCATTCCAAAGATACAGGTTCTAGTCTCGGCGCTGCACCTTCTTGACCTGTGGCTCTGGACTAGTCTTTTACCCTCTCTGGACCTGTTTCCTCATTCATAAATAAGGGGGTTGATCTAATTTTCCAAAATAGCATTCTGCAATTCTATCTCAGACCTACTCTCTTCCCACAATTTACAATGTCATGACTGCACTTGCCTATTTCCTAGTAGTTTATCAATTTGGACTTCTCCTCTAGTAGCCTGCGAATGTCAGGCAACTCACAACTTGTTTATGGTGACGCCCTATGATGCTCTAACCCTTGGAACAGTGCTTCCTCAACCTTCCTCCTGACATGGCACAGACAGAGAGGACAGTGACAGCAGATATTTACATCGTGCTGACCATAGGCCAGGCAAGCCCTTCACATAAACCAACTCAGTTAATCCTCACAGCACCCTGTGAGAAAAGTGACTATCATTCCCCCTCTTTCATGAGGAAACTGAGGCACAAAGGTTCTGGGGCAGTATACTATTAGGAACCAACCATTCTGGCCTGCCTGAGACTGAGCAGTTTCCTGGGGTGTCGGACTTGCAGTACTAAAACCGACAAAGTCCCAAGCAAACCAGGACAGCTGGTCATCCTGCACCTTGAGGTAAATGGAAGAACCTGCTTGGGTTAGAGAACAACTGGCCCAGGGTGCCAACTGCTCCAGGTGCTGTCTGGCCACTCTAAGGACTGAAGGGGTCAGCAGCGGGCACTTGTGCCCATCTGTGGCAGAATATCTGGGAGGAGCTTGCTTCAAGCCCTCATCTGATCTGGGTCTTTGCTTTTCCTGAGGACCTGATGATTCGGGGGATCAGAGCAAGGCTGGATGATGACAGCAATTAACCACATTCTTTTGTACTTTGCTTCATCAGAATCAGGGCCAGGGGGAGGCAAGCAAGGCGCCCAGGGTGCAAATTTAAGGTGTTCACTCTCAGGGAGTGCGAGCCACCTCGCTTGCCTCACTCTAGTCCTGGCCTAGCTTGACATGTAAAGTAAAACACCAGAGGAGACTCAGGGCCAGCCACCAGCTGGCTCACACTCCCTAAGAACAAGGCAGCCACTGGGAGGACCCGAAGAGGGGCAGGTGGGGTCTAATGTTTCAACCCTGTGCGCCAGGCTCAATAACTTGATTCCACACCTGCTGTTCACCGCATCTGTGTCTACATGCAAGAGGTTTCTCAGTAGTCAAAATTAGCTGGGCAACAGAACTGCAGGAACGGGCTAGACTAATGCTGTCCAGCAGAACTCTCTGTGATGCTAAAATGTTCTCTGTTTGCACTGTCCAATACGGTAGCCATTAGCCAAGTGTGGCTACTGACCAAGTGAAATAAGGCCAATGTGACTGAGGAAATGAGTGTTTCGTTGTATTCACTTTTAACTAATTTAAACTGAAACAGACACACACGGGCAGAGGCTCTGGGAGTGAGCGGCGCAGACCCTTGCTACTCAGTGCGTGTTTAGTGGATCAGCAGCACTGCCATCACCTGGAGGCTTGTTAGAAACGCAGAAGCTCAGGTCCCAGCCCCCACCTCCTGAACCATAATCTGTGCTTTGACAAGATCCCAGGTGAGCTGTACACGCGGAGGTACTGGGCTAGACTGCGACTGTGCTGAACAGAAGGGAGGGTCAGGCTCTGATTAAACAGCGGAACAGCCCTACCTTGAGGGTACAGCCACTGAAGGAGCAGTCTCCCTTTGTTCCCTCCTCCAACCTCTCGCCCCACCCCCTCATTGAAAGAAGGCAGAAGGAGGGGGATGGAGAGGCCAGCGCTGGAGAAGGCACTTCCTCTCACGACACACAAAAGTGTCTTTAGTGACCTCTCCTCTGGAAAGAGTTTCTCTAATCGCTGTCTTCCTTTTTCTTCCAGGCCTCAGTTTGAACTTATTGCTCTGTGTCTGGCCAGATGCTAACGCTACGCTAGGGAACTGCTCCAGCAAACAGCAGCCTTCCCTACTTTTAGGGAATTTATGAGCCAATACATGAGGCAGGTAAGTGGTTGTTAATGTCTTCCTTCTTGCTAATGTAAATCTCCCCTATGTGATATCAGGTCTTTACTTCCCATGTTTGGACGAAAGAGACCTCAGGGCCTTTAACTCTTACATGTAGGAAAGCACTTCTCTCTGAAGAAGCCGAGAGAGTGGCCACAGGGTGGCAGAGACAGGGACATAGCTGCCCAGGCTGCATTAGCCACATGAAAGTTCCAGCTTCTTTCTGCCAGACCTGGGTGGGGCAGGAGGAAGGCAGGCACGAAGTGAGGACCCAGACGCGCACTGACCAACAGCAGCAAGAAGGCCCTGCACACTCACCTGCCTTCCCGATCTGCACGGCCAGGCGGGTCAGCTTGCCCTGCAGCACTGACTTCTCCTTTTTGGGCAGCTTGGCCGCCTTTTTCTCCTTCTCCTCATTGTCCATCCCCTCCTGGCTGTTGAGTGGCTGGATCTCCAGGGCCACTCCATCCTGAGTCTTTGCTAGGGTGTACACACAAATAGGACAGGTGAGCAGGCGAGGTAGGAGTACCGAGTAGAAGGCAGGTGGAAACCAAAAGAACCCTTCTGTCTTCTTCCTGAAATACACCTTGACCCTGACATCAGTTCTGATCACTTTCACCCCATGCCAGACAGGGAGCTTGCCTTCAACCCTCTATTAGGGCCTTTGGAGTGATATTCTAACAACTGGAGATGAAATGGGCATGCTTTGAGGGTATGGATTTCCTCTTCCATGGCAGCTTCCTCACCACCTCAGAGCCCCAAGCCAGGTTTCTTCCAGCAAGAGGATTAGTCACTAAGTGCTGTTACCAACAAGCATCCTTCCTGGAATTCAGGGCTTAAAATAGTGAATCTTTACTGTAGAAAGGGGCTGAAGAGGAAGGTTGGCAGATGTTTCTAGAGCATGAGGGTCCTAGTCTGCTCTGTTAAAAGGTTCATCTCCATAAATAGACTGTTGGGGAAGAAACACAGACCCCAGACACGGATATTTTCCAATTCATTCTTATATCACCTGAAAGATAGTGGAAGGAAATACCCTTTCTGCCCTGCATGATGAAGGTAGGGAGGTACAGAGTGAGCAGTGGGGTTAAGTATTTTTGGGGAGAGGGAAGAAGCTGGTGTGAGGGATCCCCTGGAATAAGAGAAAGCAGAGATAAAGACAGACATATAAATCCATTTTGCTTTAAAAAGAAGAGTTAGAGAGATCTAAAATTAAAGAATTATTTCTGTGGAGCCCTGGTTCTCCAATGTGATGACTATTTCTAAAGACTATTATGACGTGGGTTACAAAGGAAAAAAACCTCTAGGAGCTCAAAAGAGCAATTCTGGCTGGTTTCCAGTCCCCCTCCAACTTCACACCTGCAGAGCGCGGCCCCTTTGCTCAGGATGCCTTCCTGAGGTACTGTCTCTGCTGTCAGACTCACAAACAAGACAGAGACGGGATGTAAACACAGGCACCAAAAAAGAAACACACATCAGATCAGGAGGAAGAAAACAGACTGTGGAGAGAACAAAGAACGAGGTGGGGAGAGAGGTACAGAGAAAGGGCTCTCTCCAAGCACCCCCGAGAAGACTTGCAGAGAAGGAATCCAGACCAGAAGAGGACACCGATGAGGAAGCTAGCCAGAGGAGGGTGCAGGGACTGCCCACCCCTACTCCCTCCACCACAAGGACCCCGAAGTCTTCCAACCCAGGAACCGATGACCATTGTTGTTTAAATCTGGCCTAAGGCAAAGAAGCAAAGACTTAACACCCTGGGAAGAGCAGATCAATCCCACATGCTCCCCAAGAGAAACCTTGACATGAGGTTCCGCAAGCCAACAGCAGAGGGTGCTGTTGTCCCATCTCAGATTGGGCCTGGGACCTTGAGGCCACCCCTAAATCTCTGCACCTTCCTCAGGATGAGGCGTCTGGGCCACAGCAGCAGATAACAGGTTTATGGAGAGGAAAAGGGAGAAGGCAGATGGCCTGGAAAGGTCTGGTTTGAGTGTGGGCAGGTAGAGATGGTAAATGAGTGGGTGGAGAGGTTACCTTTGTTGCGATTTTCAGGGACTCCTTGTTTTTTACCTGTTTGAACAAGAAAGAAAAAAGTGGGGTGGAGACCCAAAGTGACTATTAAGAGATCAGATATCCAATTTGATGGTCCTGCTCAGAGTCCAGAAGGGCGACAGCAAAGGGGCTGAGTGCAGGGAGGCAACATAAGGGAAGCTCACGTCTCTGCCTCCGTCCATTCTCACCAGGGGCTCTCGTGCCTCCTGGGCAGGGGAACCAGAGCGCCCGGCTGAGAGTGCACACCCGCACCTGAGCTGCTTCCTCCTGGAGCGCGGTTGCTGCTGGGAGGGTGCTGCTGGCCTGAGTCACATCACATAGAGAAATGGGGAGGGCTTAGGAGCGAGAGGTTGAACTGCTTCTGCCTGACGGCAAAGGCCCTAAGAGGCGTTTCCATGTCAGCTCACCAGCACCAGGCCAGCCTGCTCCTCTGTCATCTGCAGGCAGCTGCACAAGCGAATAGTCTAGTCCTGAGGGAATGTGCTTGGCTTCCTTCTCATAAACTGCCCTCCACTAAACAGCCCAAGAGGTCCCCCAGCCAAGTGGGAGAAATCTTTCTCTCCTCCCGGGTATGAAGGAATGCTGACGGAAAGGTGTGGATATGGTTTTAGTGTCTTTTTCTCTTTTGTCTTCTGTTTTCCCTTCCTTTGGGAACAAGTAAATGGCAGACAGGACTAACTTTGCAACAGACACGACTTCTCTCTTCCCACTCTCCTGGTTGTGTCTCTCTTCTACTGACAGTGCCTAGTTTCAGCAGGAGTCCAGTTTCTTCTCCTGACCAGTTTTCCCTTAGCCTGGATGGTTCATTTAACCCCCATGTTTGATGAAGAAAGGGGCAAGCGCAGGACTGTGCAGAGGGCCTCTCAGGCCAGAGCACTAGCCAGCTCACCTGGGCAGGCTTTGTCACTCACCCCTTTGCACCCCACCAACAGACACAGGGCTCCAGGCTCAAGCGCAGCCTGATCTGGGAGTCTAGAGCCAGGATCTGGTTTTCCTCAGAGCTCCTAGGGAGCCAGGTTGACCCCTCTATCTCGGCACGGGGTTTGGATCTCTGCACTCTTTACCCAGCAGATTCTTCCATCCAGATCTGCTCCCCTGCTTCCTCCTTTGTCCACGGGGATGGGAGGGAAGAGAATCTCATTCCGAATGCTCCTTACCTTTTTTCTTCTTCTCCTGCTCTTCTCCCTCACTGGCCCCCAAGAGGGTAAAGATGATTCCAGTCTGGGAGTTGACACCCACAGCAGTCACTACCATCCGGCCAGAACCTTCCATGACGTGAGTGCCTATATGAGAAGGGAGAAGATGGGAGGAGTCTTGTTTTTTTATACCTAGCCATGCTTTGGTGTGAGACACAAACTTAGGAAAAAAACACTCCCTCTTCCTTCCTCCCCCACGGATAATGATATACTCAGCAGATAGTAGGAAACGGTCAAGAGCTGGGCCCACTTAAAATACACCAAGCAAACTGGGGGTAAGGAGAGAAATCTGTCTAACTGCTTTAGGGTAAGGCTCCCTCCCCCACATCCCACCCCAACCGGCAGAGCCCTTCCAAGGCCCCTCTGGCACTGCTTCCTGAGAACCTCTTTTAGGTTGCCTGATGGCCTCGTGTTCAACCCACTACCATGCTGCTGCCCCAGCTGGAGGCAGGACCAGAAGAGGGAGCAGGGTCTGCACCAGGTCTCTGTGGCCCAGCTGTCTGCAGGGACGTAGAATGGGAACTGGGGCAGCCAGAGGCCATACCTGAGAGCAACATGGGGTCTCTTTCCAGGGACTTCTTGACATGGTCCGATTCCCCAGTCAGAGAACTCTCATCAATCTTGAGATCATTCCCCTGGATCAGGATCCCATCTGCAGGCAGCAGGTCACCTAGTGCACAGAGGGAGCATGGAGCAGGCAAACAGGGTGGGTAAGAGCCTGGCGGGGGCACCATCCAAGCCCACGTCGGGGCTGCTCCCATGGGCCCCACTTGTGGGCAACGGCCGGGGAGTGTCTGGAGAGCCTGGGAAAGACAACTTCAGCTCTGACGACCTTCCCAGGTATCACAAATTCAAATAATTACTGATCCCAAAACATCCTATCGTGGCCTGAATATTATATACTTTTACCCTAAGACACACAGGGTACACGTCTGACGATATTTTGGCAGAGTTTCAGTTACTTCTTTCTTTGAATCTCCTTCCCACAACTCCCTTCTACTCTAACTGGAAGCTAACACAATTTGGGGGTCTTATCTCTTTGGGTCCTCAGCAATTCCCAGCCCCCTTATGCCAAAGGACCTCACCTCCCATGGGGAGGGTGGCACAGGTACGAGGAACATGGAGCTCTCACCATATTTGATTTGGGCGATGTCGCCCACCACGATCTCAGCCACAGGGAGCTGGATGATGTGACCATTTCGGATAATGGAGAACTTCTGCTCCTTTTCAATGCGGTTCTGCAGCCCCCGGAATTGCTTCTCTTTGCTCCAATCATTGAAGGCAGTCACAAGCACCACGATGATCACAGAGAACAGGATGGCCGCCCCCTCAATCCAGCCAGCTTCTGCCTCCCCTTCATCTTCCGGGGTACTTACAGCTAGACCACACTCTAGCCCAGGGAAAGGAGAGAAAGATCACCTAGGGGCTTTTGTTGACATTAAAAATGGGGGTATATTGCTTCTGCAATCCCCCAGAATGGAAAGTCAGGGAGAGAAAATAAAACTCTTGGGTAAAAGAGTTATGCTCTGAGGATACAAGAGGACAGCAGGCTTGGGCATCATCTCATCACCAACATAACCATTTATGTTAACCCAAAAGACACAAATGACTAAATAGCACAAAACACATCAATGCATATTACAGCCAAGTCACACGTGAAGAACTAATGATTCCCAAGATGGTCCAGCTCCCACTGCTATTTCCCATAATGCCGAACAAGTGGTGGGGACACTTTGAGAAGCAGGGCTTTGTTGGTTGGGTCAAGGTAGAGAATTCCTGACATCCTGATAAGGATGGGAGAAAGAGAAAAGGACCCTGGAATCAGGATGGGTTGGAAGAATAGCTTACGAGCTACTTGTTAGTTTCCTTTGGAAAATCTACCCTGGGTAACAGGGGAAAGAATGCCTTTTATGCTATAACCTGTCAACCACCAACACTCAGTGCTTTTTGGTGGTGGTGGAAAGAACCCAGATCAGAGTCACGCTGGGCTGTTCAAGACACTCACGCTCATTCTCTTCACCAGGGGGGCGGTAGAAGGACAGGACCAGGGAGATGATGGCTGCAATCTCCAGAATGATGAGTGTGACATCTTGAAGGGCTTCCCACACTAGTTCTAAGAAGGTCTTGGGTTTTTTGGGGGGGATCAAGTTCTGTCCAAACACTTGCTTACGTCTCTCCAGATCTGCAGGGTTCCCAGATAGACCTGAAAAGGAGACAGGAGTGGGATGAACGACCAAGAAAAAACGGGAGAGACGGACGAGAGAAGAAGGCAGCTAGAAGACCCTTTGCTTCCTGACTTGCCATAGTATGAGATCCAGCTACTATGACCAACCACCCCAATTTGCCCGAGACTCAGGGGATGTGAAACTTTCAGTCTAAGAATGGGCAAACTGGGACAAGTTTGTCACAGGGGCCACTTACCCTTCTTAGTCTCCAGGGTAAGCTAGCCCAGACCTGAAACTTCTCCTCATTGAGTATGCTCCAGGTGCCAGCTCCAAGAGCACAAACATTACAATGTTTCCTGGGACTTGCACGGCACTTCTCTCTCACATTAACATGCAAAGGCTGGTGATGATTTAAAAACAGCTTCCATCCACATGGACACACAGAAAGGCCAGAAAGAAAAAACTGTCTGCTCACGGTCTTGCCAGGAGGCTGAGACAGAGCCCACTCAGGTGTCCTGATTCCAAGTTCCAGTAGCATTAGGAGATCAACAGAGCAGAGGCTGTGAGACTCCAACTTCAGACATCCCCTTTGAGCACACGTGCCCCTCCTTTTCCGTCACACACACAGGCATAAACACACACTACTATTTTACTACTACTATTTTACCAAGTACTATGTACTTAGAGAAGTACTACTTAGACTAAGTACTACTACTAAGTACTAGGTACTAACAGAAGTGCTACTACTATTCAGGCTGGATAAAAAGAGAACAAAAAATGTGAAGCCACTAAGTTGGAAAGCAGAGTCCTTGACTCCCAGCATGCTCCCACTAACACACATGTAAGCTTCCAGCCCTGCGTGAGTGCACACACATATTCTAGGCATGCTCCCCAAAGGAGACAGGCAGAATTCTTCCCAGTGCCTTCCTTACATTTAGGCCCCTCTGCTGGGTCCCAGGGGGGTTACAATTTAAGGAAAGGAAGAAATTCTGACACTTCAATTAACGCCAGTTGGCATTTATCAAGTTGTCCACATGCAGCTGCGGAGCGCCCCGGCTCTGGTGCCGCCCTGTTTAACGGGTGCCCCGCAGGCAGTGGGGCAACCTTTGTCTTGAAAAAAGGTCAGCAGCCGAGGAGGGTTAGAATCAGAGGACAGGACACAACCGGGCTTCACTTCATGGGGAGTGCAGGGAAAGGCAGATGTCTGGAAGCTGCCAGGAGAAAGTGGAGGTGCTGATGCCAGAGGACTTCCTCACTCTTCAGTCAACACGGAGGCTGTGCTGCTGGCTGGGGATGGGGGCACAGCAGGAGGGGAGACGCCTGCCCTCCATCCCCTCTGAGCAGGGCCCAAGAGCGTTCTCTTAAATAGCAAGAGGAGAGATCTGGGTTAGATCTAAGGAAAACATGCAGACAGAAAAAGATGTTGAAAACGGGAAACGAGGTACCCAAGGGAGTGTTGTTTGCAGGGTCTGAGATGGCCTCCATTTGTCCCCCTAAAAACAAAAGCAATCAGGACTCATCTGTCTGGGCAGGCAGATGAGGGGCCCTGCTGGAGGTAAAGTGGGGTCAAGTGGCACTCGTGCGGCCAGGCAGTGGAGACCACTTGCACTTACTAGTGCTTAGGAGAGGGAACCGGGAGCTGCTCAGGCGCCTGATGCTCCTATCCAGGCCTTCCGCCTCCTAGTGCCCAAATGCACCAACCTGCCTCCAGCCGAGCACCACAGCACAGCACAGCCGAGCTCCACAGAGGAGCAGGGCTTGGCCAAAGCTCCAGAAGCAAGTTGGGTTGCTTCCCAGAGGCTCCCTGCCTCCACCACCCTGAGAACAGGTTCCCAGTAGGAGAGGAAAGCAGGGGCCTGGGAAAAGAGCGTTCCTGGGAAGGCGTCTTGATCTCCAGGCAGGCAGAGCCAGAAATGCCAGGGGGCAGGGCCCTGCTGGTTTTGTCTCCCCAGGGACCCAAGAGAGCAAGGCTGTGCCAACTTGGGATTGCCATGCTAGAGGGCCAGGTTTGCTTGAGGGAAACAGGAGTTTGACAATTTGTCAACCTCCCTGGGATGTTTCTCAAGGAAGGAGGCTTCACAATGCACAGAGAGGAGATGCTCTTCCTTCCTTAACAAGGGCGAGCAGATGACTATGAGGGCGAAGCAAGACATCAGATATTAGAGGGCATCATAAGGGACGTCCCAGCAGCCTGGTGAATGCCAAAACAGTAACGGTCTGGCTAAGACCACCCCACCGGAGGCAGCCCCACCCATCTCTGTTCTCACAGTAATGCCTTGTAATCATCCTTGACTCCTCTCTCTCATCCACCATATCCATTTAGTCAGGAAATCCTGTCAGCTTTACCTTCACAATAGATCCAGGGTCCATCCCATCTCACTTTCCCCTGCTGCCTTCCTGCTCTGGCCTGCCGCTGTTGCCTGCAGCTGGCTGACTGGGGCCCTTGCTCCCACCCTTGCTCTCCTGTCCTCAGGTTCTTCTCCACAGAATAGCAAGAAGGATCTTTTTCAAATGCAACCCATGTCACTCACCCACTCAGAATCCTCCAGTGGCTTTTACCTGGAGTGAAACTGGGCACTGAAGACCCTATGAACGCCTGCGTCCCCTGTCAGAGGGGACCTCAGCCCCACCCCCCACCTCCCTCGACTCTCCCTTGTTCACTGAGATCCAGCCAAGCGTGCCTTCCTGCCGTTCTCTGAGCACACCTGACACGATTCTGTTCCAGGGTCTACACAAGCAGCTTCCTTCGCTCATGTTCTTCTTCTTCAGTAGGTAGGGCTCATTCTCTCACGTCCTTTAGGTCTGTGCACAAGTGTCACCTTCGTGAGGCCCACCCTGACCAGCATGTTGAACACGGCGATTCGTCTGCCTGGCACGCTCCATCCTCCTTATCCTGCTCAACTGTTTCCCTCGACAGGTCTTCTCCCCTAAGATATTGTACGATGCATTCACTGATTGTATTTGCCTTTCTCTCTCCACAAGGCCAGGATTTTCGTCTTTGTTCTTTAGGCCGACACCAGTGCCCGGCACATAGTAAGCATACAAATTTGTTGAATGAACTGCATGAATGGAGTGATAAATAAGGTCACTAACACTTAAGTGATTAGTATGGCCCGATGCTTCACCAGGCAATTCACGTCCTCTCATTCAAACACTGCAAATCCTATGTGGTAGCTACTATTCACTCCATTTTACAGAGAAGCAAACTAAGGCCTGGAGAGCTTATGTAACAACTCACGCTCGGATGTGGCAGAGTCCACACCGCTCCACAGGAAGCAGCTGGACGCCAACCTACACACGGAGGGGGCTGGGGTGTGGAGGGGCTGTGTGCAGCTGGGCTTCATTCTAGTGTGACCAGCTTGTCCCAGCTTGCCTGGGACTTTGCAGGCTTTAGCACCAAAGCTCCTGCCTCCTGGGAATGCCCTCAGTCCCAGGCAAATGGGGCTGGTGGGTCACCCTACGTCATTCACAGCAGTGCAGGCCCACCTGCCACTCTCCTCCACAACTCTAAGCAAATCAGCCCTGATCCCCCATTTAAAACTGAGGCGAAATTAGTCCTATTCTCTTCCTGTCCTCAGGGATGGTGACACCAGGTCTGTCAGAGTCCAACCTATAAGTTTTGTCTGCAATAAAAGGTTCAGTATGGACTTTTTTGGACCCAAGCAAATGAAACAAGACACATTACGGAAAACAAAAGGTCAGGCCTTGCTCTTGCCTAGATGTCCTAGTAAGTCACACACTTCCTTCCTTTTTGCCACCTTCTCTCATGTCTCTGCTCCACCTTAAGTCAGCCTAAGCTCTTACAAGAGCTGCCTTCATAAGTCAGGCGGCTGTGCCAGTCCCAGCACGCCCTGTGGCAGGGAGGGGCAGCCTGGGACTGTCAGCACAGTGGTCTTGGGAATCCTCTCTCTGACATGTGGCAGAAAGCCATGAGGCAATGGGCTTTCCATTCCAATTCTTCCTGCCCCCAAGAGACCCTCAGGCCCTGACCTCAGCAGCTGGAGCGTCACACAGACACCTGTCCAGTCCGGGAGAGGATTTGACTCCCTGATCTCAGCAGCTGCTTCTCAAATACACAGCTTCCTTTAGAGGAAAAGGAAGGCTTGGCAGGGAGAGAGTGCTGGAGACACAGGAAAAAGGTTTTCCCCAGAAATACATCAAGAAAATGAGAGGAAACCTTATCCCCAAGAACATGAGAAGGAAAGCCCCACCCAAATGAGGAGTACTTCTGGCCCTAAGAACCGTACTGAACCCGTGAGCTGGGAGAGAGGACAAGAATGTCAGGCTGTGAAGTCATAGCCCCCACCCCACCCTGGGGAGTGACAGAGACCCTGCCCAGGCTGGCAGGAGGACAGAATAAGCAGCAGTGGAAAATCTGTGTCTGCTGTAAGCCTGTGCAGGGACCTGGGCCAGGGGGAGAAGCTGCCGCCCAGCCCTCAGTGGCCTGGATAAAGCAAGGAAGGGCCAGGGCCAGCCTCCCTGGGACACCAAGGACTGTGGGCAGAGGTGCCCCTTATCAGAACCAGATTAGCCCCAGAAAGGGTGGGGCTGGGTTAGACATCATGAGGGACTTCCCAGCTGTCCGAGTTATGTTACCTTGCCAAAGAGACAGCAGCATCTTCCCCTACGCAGACAGCACAAGTGAGAGGTTTCTCTGGGTTGATTTGAAGGCAGCCCTCTTTGATAAATGAGAAGAATAGACATCGGAATACCTTTCAAAGTCCTACCTTAAAAAACCTGGATTCAGGGCCTATGGGGAAGAGTAGCTTAAAATCAATATAGGGACCAGCAGGCTTCAGCCAGCTCCTGCTGCTAACCACCTGCCACTCCTGCAAGGATGCAGAGCAGCCCCTCCCTCAGCATCTCCAGCTCAACACACTTACAGCCTGGAGATGTGCCCTCTGCCTGCTAGACTTCCAGCCCCTGGAGATAAAGCAGTGTCTTGAAGGTCACAGCAAGAAAAGGTCAGAGAACGTCCCTTTCCTCATTCTCAGTCCAAAAAGCCCTGTTGAGGTGGGCAGCTTCCTCAGGGAACGTC